TACAATGGAATACTATTCAGCAATAAAAATGAACAAACTAGCAATACTTACAACAACATGGATGAATCTCAAATACATTATGCTAAGTGAAAGAAGCGAGACTTAAAAGGACAAATATGTATGATTCTATTTATATGACATTCTAGAAAAAGCAAAACTATGGGGCCAGAAAACAGATCATTAGTTGCCAGTGGCTGGGGTTGAGGGAGGGCCAGTTACAAAAGGGGCAACAGGAGGGGTTTTGGGGTCTGAAGGGACTGTCCATATCTTGATTGTCCAAATCAACTGTATGCCAAAAAGAGTGGATACTCTACGCAAATATGTATCTTAATAAAAAAGCAAAAAAAAAAATCAGGGGTGGTGGTGGTGGAAAAGAAACTAAACAATTTATAGCTCACAAACCACAAACAATATTTACTGGCCATGCACCATTTACAAGGGCATATGCTGGGCCCTGAAGATACAGAGCTAAATAAGACAATCCCTTCCTTCAAGGAACCTCCAGATTCATAGGAGGATATGGCCTGGCAACAAAAGTTTGGGTTTGCTGTGGAGATGGGGGCGGACATGTACTCCTGGCATGCTATGAAGAGCACCAAGGAGGGGGTCATCACGTTCAGCTGGAGTGGGTGAGATGGGGAAAGAAGGCAGGCTTCCTAGAGGAGGAATTGCTTCAACTGAGTTTTGAAAGATGAGAAGGAGTTAGGCAGGTGAGGAGAGGACATTCCAGGTACAAAGGATGGCACGTGGGCAGTCTCAGGGGGTGAGACAACCTGGGACCTTCTGGGAATTGTAAGGATTTGGGTGTGGCTAGGATGAAGGGAACCAGAAGAGTTGGCAGGAGATGGGAAGGAGGTTACAGATAATCAGTCCAAAGAACTTGGATTTTATCCAGAAGGCAGTGGGCCAGGTTTTAAGCAGGTCGGTGACAGGGGTCAAACTCATGCATTTTTAGGATCACTGGCTGCATTGCAGAGGATGGATGGGGGCAGGGGTAGGCGAGCGGGGGTGGGGGGTGGGAGCCTCTGGAAGCAGGGGGACCAGAGAGCAACCTGACAGATGTAGAGGCTGGGACCAGATGGGAAAGCAGAAGAAAGACTGATTGGAAAGGTGTTTAAAGGTAGAATAGCCAGAACTGGCCTCCC